TTATAATACAATATTAATTACGTAAGACCCGAATCTACGAGATTAAAGATATGAGAGTCTGTTGGAACACAGTCAAAGTCAAATCTTCATCATTATCTCCACTGACGAATGTGTTGAATCGTATGCAAACGCCACAATGTATTTGCATGATTTGACCTGCAACAATGTCCTTTGACCTAATGGGTCAAGTCTGTTATTAACCAATCAGAATGCTGTGTTATACCAACGCAATTCTTTGTAAATTCCGAAAGACTTGCTGGTAACGCAATGCAGAAGTGAATTATTGTTGAAGTACGATCTGTTGGAATTGATTTTGGCAAATAAACCACATAGTTTTTTCAAAAAACTGCTAACTAGCAATTTTTGACTGAATATGACATGAAATATTTACTTTTATTAACAGGTCATTATCGCAGCGTAGTTTACACATGGTTACCATAGTCTACACATTCACAACATATTCACAAAGGTCAATAACCTTGCTATATCAAATAAAAACAATTACTAGTATTCGTTAAGCAATGATCGTAGACTCAGTTTTAATTTAGTGGCATTTTGAAGGGGTGGGGCACTTTGCTGAATGTGACCCTGAATATAAAAATTGCACAAATGTGGGGGATGGGGGGCTTGATCAGGCATGGGCACTAATGCGGTAGAGTACAGTACAAGTTTATTCAAGTATGGTTGAGAGTGCCAGACAAAGTGCGCGTGGACTAATGAGGGTGCCATTCAGACAAATGTTTTTGTTTAGGAAATCTAGTATTAAAGCATGCATACTAATCTTTGTTGACAGAAACAAGTACCATAAACACAAGTTAAAATATCAGGAAACTAAATAACAAAACACCACAACAACATTTATTCACCTTGCCATGGACCAAACTAATACCAAACTATCTTCTGCGCCAGACACAATATGACTACCATCGTCTGTAAACTCTAAACATGTTATTTGTTGATAGTGTCTGCTTAGTACTGCCAAAAGTCGACCTGTATTGACCTGTAGCAATTACAAAATAGTCTTAATATTAGATTCAAATTTGACATTTTCTGTAATGAACATGTATAAAAAAATATTTTTTATTGAATTTTTGGGGGATTTCAACAACAAAAACAGTTATGATACATATGTGATACATACATGCCACACATGAAGCCTTTCAACAATACCAGCAACACAGTAATGACCACAAGGTGATGTATCCAATGCAGTAACCAATCCTGGACACACGATACGACTCTGCTGCTGGTCCTGAATAGTATGAAAAAAAGAACAAGTACAGGTCATTCAACATCATCTCTTACTTTCAACAATGAGGGCAGTATTTACCAAATTAGCAATGTCTTGAATCTGATATAGTTTTGGGTTCCCTGTTAAAGTAAGAGGTGTTGAGTTGATGTTATAATATTCATATCCATATTCCAGAGTTTTCCCCAGTTTTTCACAAGTTGAATACTGTAAAAACGAATACAAGATAACTTGAAATATTTATTTGTCAAATTTTAAAAACAAAAATTAGTGAATCTAAAAACAATAGATTACATAGATTAAATGGTGTGTCATTTGTTGTCAGAAAATAAATGAATTTCATGAATATGGCTCAAAAAACACTGTGGCAGGTAAACCTGTGTCCAAAGAAAACAGGGTGAATTTCAGCTTTGTACAGGTTAGACTGAGTGTTCTAAAATATTTCAATCACAATAAAACAAATTTGAGGTTTTTTGTAACTAACCATGAACAGCAATGCTGTTAGAATCTGTCTATGGTATAGATTCAGTTAAATGTTTTTTTTCTCATTCTCATCAATTAAAGCCTAAATTAGTGTCAAATCATTGTTTTAAGAATATAAGACAGAAGACATTTTGGAGAACCAAAAACAGCACAATTCTGTGAACGGTTGAAATTTTGGAAGCCAATAAATTATGGTAATCTGCCAAATATTTAGATGGTCACATTTTTAAATAAGGCAAGTTTTTATAGTAAAGTGAATATGAATTCATTCAAGTGTTCGAAAACATTTGTTCAAGATATTACTTGAAGTTTAAATGTATTTCACAGCAAACCAAAAAATCACCATGATTGAATAATAAGCAATGCTTTTAAAACCTTGGAGAAGTATGTTATATTTGTGTGTACTTCTACGGTAGTAGATGATTTCTTTGTTTTGTTTTTGAGTTGTTTTAATTCCCTGGTGTTTATAACACCATGTAGTGTCAGCTCAGTGTTTTTTGTTTTCATACCTACATGTAGAATGCATTACATTTCTGTAATCCGTTGAATTTCTAGAAGCCAATAATTCACCTAATCAAATTTTAGTAGGCAACATTTTAGAGTTTTAGTTACAATACATATAGTACTTCACTGTTCACATTTTTAATATTTTACAAAAATTTTGTAAACTTTATTGTTTATTGTAACTTTATTGTATCCACAACAGTTACTGGTTCGTTTAGGAAAGTGTCTGGGGGTGAAGGAGTTAGGCGTGAGTTGATATCTTGCGCCCGGTGAAAGAGTTCACGAGTCCCTCCATCCATAACTCTAATCTTAACCCTGCCTTTCCAGTATGTATATACAATACATTGAGGTAGAGTGTTAGGGTTTAGGGTTTAGATTACAGGTGGGGCCTCAAAATCCTGAATCAAATTTCTTTTTAAGGTAGAAGCCTAATCATAATTTTTGAGAAAATTGGTCATAAATCGCATGACAATGTTTTTCTGTTTACTATGTAAAATCATGGAGCTATTGGCTCATGGCACCATGAAATAGCATTCATTTGTGTGTTACAGTGACGTATTTTGAGACACTTTTCCTATTATTTTGCAAAAAATTATATTTTTACAACAATTCCATATAACACAGTGTTAAAGAAAAATCAAATTTTTTGACACTTTTTAAAACCCAGATTTTTGAAATAATTTAGGATAACAAAAAGTACCCCATCATTGACAATATATAATTTTTTCAGCCTATGTCACCAGGCTACAATTTCAGATATGGCATAATATCTCTGCCATAGGAAAAACATTATAATACTGCCAAAATGACTATTATTCACAAAAATAAAGTCATCTTTTTCGGGAATTAAACTGGTGACCCCAACTAAGTCAATATCCTTATATTGCCCGGATGTACAATTTATTGGAAAATGAATAAATTCTGGGTTTTTGAAATCATGAGTAGGTTGCCAAAAAAACGTACTGTACCTGTCTGTGAAGCGCCCACACATGAAGAAGGGGATGGCAATTAACTGCTGCTATTAAATAATCTTTACCAAGCAGACATAAAGTTCGAGGTGCACTGCTTCCCCCTTTATATGACATCAGTGAGGTTCCCGTATGAGGGTCCCAAATACAAGAATTCCACATTTGTCCTGAAATATCGCTCGAAAGCACAACTTCCATGGGCGCAGCCATCTTGAACTTTGATTTGGCAGTTGTTGTCGGTGAGGGCGATGTGTCTACACTTTTCCTGGCTCTTTGCACAAAGTTCTTCGGCTTTGAAAATTTTCGCTCGAAATGTAAAGCGAGCTTAGTCGTTGAAAACAAAACAACTTGCGATACAATGTACGAGATACTTCAATATACTTAATTTTTCAATTGAAAGTCTCGATTTATAACAAATAATTCCGTTTCAATCCACACACGTGGTGCAGTTCGCAATTAGGGCGTGTTCATCTTAGCGGAAACCATTTCACCGCTGATATTCCGTTTATGAATAATGTAGTCCATTAACGATTCAGCAGAAATCGTTCTGTCCAACTCTTTATTTATCGTTTTACAGTGTATATATAATGTTGGAAATGAAATCCTCATGAAATTTAACGATGAAAGGCGTAACAAGCTACATATGTGTTGAATCCCCGGCCATGCGCATTCATATTTTTTAATAAGGCGTGCTAGCAAAATTGGTACTACTTTGAGTTCTCTTCCACTCGTGAGCTGGTACTCGTGGTCTGGTGTGTTTGTGTCTTGTTTTGTCATTAAACTAAATTCCGCTCTTTTATAAATTTGTGTTGATCATCAGAACTCCATAACAACTTGACTGGTATAACTGAATTAATTTTGCTTATTTGTATCATTTTTTGCAGACTCAATTCAGCATCGTCATCACTCCATCATCAAGCTGATTTGCGATTTTGCATGCACGGCATTTTGTCATTTTCATCTAAACAAGACCACTTCAATATTTTGTGATAATGTCAGATGACGACTGGGACGAGGGTAGTGCAGCTCCAGTGTTCAGCCCTGTCAGCAATGGCTTTGGCTCCAAGGTAAATGTTGTACTTTTATCTCTAATCTACAATTTTTTGCTCTCGAAAAACTTCCTTGGGACATTCCGTCTGTTCACGTGACCTCTTTCATGATGCTGGCCACGTGTTATTATGCTTACAACTGTCTCCGCCATATTGTTCGGAACACCCAAACAGCAACATTGTCAGCTAAGTTGCTGAATGGTTAGTTATGCGCATCTCGAGATCGTTACATTATTGGAACTTCTTATAGCGTTTAAACCACTTTTACAAGGGTGTGTCGTTCGGCTAAATTTGCTAGTTTACGAGCGTTATGATACACACCAGACACACCATCGACTTGTCAGACTCCCCCAACATTATTTTTATTTATTTACTTATTGACTCTTACACAATCCCCGGAGGGAAAGAAAATGGTCACAAAGTACAAGGAGAAATATATATATAAAAAACAAAAAAACAAAAACACAATATACTAAATAACAAATACAATCACTAAATTACTAAAAAATACAAAATCTCTAAAATACAATCTAATATAAAATTACAAAATTGACAGCAGGCATTAAGATGTCAAGTAAGACCCTGCTTCCTGACTTCAAAGCTTTTACTTATGAACTGTGCTACTGGAATAATAATGTTTTCATTCTGTAACAATTCCATGAATTTTTTCTTTGCAGGTTTATTTTCAAATGCTGGGATCATATCCTTAGCTTTATTGAACAGTTTGGCACGCAACTCATTATATTTGTTGCATTCCAGCAGAAAATGCATTTCATCCTCAATTAGACCTTTGTTACACATGTCACAAACCCCGTTGTTTAGTGGGATTTTTTTATGACGACCCATTTCAATTTTGAGACTATGGTCACTAAGACGAAATTTGGTAAGCACACTACGCAGTTCAAAGTTTTTTAGCTTGACTAAATATGGCTCAAGTTTTAAATCTGATTTGATTAGCCGATATGTTCTTAGTTTGTTTTTTCTCATTTGCTTTGGTGCGGTTATCATTATGGACCTCACCTTTCCATCTTGTTAGAAATATATCCTTGATGCCTAAATCAATTTGTTTCATTTGTGCCGAGGTTAATTTATCACAGTTGTTAACTGAATGATATAGTTGGATATTGTTTAATAATGATGTCACTTCTAGATACCATTTACTTTTAATGCTTTGGTTAACCACAAAAGCTTCCTTGAGTAACGCATTATTAGAATTCATGGCCCGACTGTAATATTTAATTATTTGTTTTTTTATAAATACGTCTAGGGGGTATCTGCCTAACTCGCTATACATGGCCATAATTGGTGTGTGTTGTGACACCCCCAGTAGATACCGACAATAACTTAATTGAACGTCTTCAATAGGTGATTTAGTGGAGAACTCATCACCCCAAACATCACAACCATAAATGAGG